CACCACAAAGATATTCGTCAAGAAGAGCAACCCCAAGGCACATAATCGTCATTCACCAGGGTTGAAATGAAGGAGAAAATACTAAGGGCAGCCAGAGAGAAAGGTCAGGTTACCCACAAAGGGAAACCCATCAGACTCACAGCAGATCTCTCAGCAGAAATCCTATAAGCCAGAAGAGAGTGGGGGCCAATATTCAACATCCTTAAAGAAAAGAACTTTCAACCCAGAATCTCCTATCCAGCCAAACTAAGCTTCATAAGTGAAGGAAAAATAAAATCCTTTGGGAACATGCAAGTACTCAGAGATTTTGTCACCACCAGGCCAGCTCTACAAGAGCTCCTCAAAGAGGCTCTACACATATAAAGGAACAATAAGTACCAGCTCAACGAAAGGGCAAAACACCCAGCTAGCACCAAAATGGCAGTATCAAATTTGCACATAACAATATTAACCCTAAATGTAAATGGACTAAATGCCCCACTCAAAAGACACAGACTGGCAAATTGGATAAAAAGCCAAAACCCATCAGTGTGCTGTATCCAGGAAACCCATCTCACATTCAAGGATACACAAAGGCTCAAAATAAAGGGATGGAGGAAGATTTACCAAGCAAATGGAGAGCAAAAAAATGCAGGAGTTGCAATTCTCACCTCTGATAAATTAGACTTTAAAGCAACAAAGATCATAAGAGACAAAGAAAGACATTACATAATGGTAAAAAGATCAATGCAACAAGAAGAGCTAACGATCCTAAATATATACACACCCAATACAGGAGCACCCAGATACATAAGGCAAGTTCTTTTTTTTTTTTGAGATGGAGTTTCGCTCTTGTTACCCAGGCTGGAGTGCAATGGCACGATCTCGGCTCACCGCAACCTCCGTCTCCTGGGTTCAGGCAATTCTCCTGCCTCAGCCTCCTGAGTCGCTGGGATTACAGGCACGCGCCACCATGCCCAGCTAATTTTTTGTATTTTTAGTAGAGACGGGGTTTCACCATGTTGACCAGGATGGTCTCGATCTCTTGACCTCGTGACCCACCCGCCTCGGCCTCCCAAAGTGCTGGGATTACAGGCTTGAGCCACCGTGCCCGGCCATAAGGCAAGTTCTTAATGACTTACAAAGAGACTTAGACTCCCACACAATAATAGTGGGAGACTTTAACACCCCATTGTCAACATTAGACAGATCAACCAGACAGAAAATTAACAAGGATATCCAGGACTTGAACTCAGACCTGGACCAAGCAAACCTAATAGACAATTACAGAACTCTCCACCCCAAATCCACAGAATATACATTCTTCTCAGCACCACGTCACACCTACTCAAAAATTGACCACATAATTGGGAGTAAATCACTCCTCAGCAAATGCAAAAGAACGGAAATCGTAACAAACAGTCTCTCAGACCACAGTGCAATCAAGTTAGAACTCAGAATTCAAAAACTAACCCAGAACCGCACAGCTTCATGGAAACTGAACAACTTGCTCTTGAAGGTTGACTGGATAAACAATGAAACGAAGACAGAAATAAAGATGTTCTTCGAAACCAATGAGAATGAAGACACAACATACCAGAATCTCTGGGACACATTTAAAGTAGTCTCTAGAGGAAAATATATAGCAATAAGTGCCCACATGAGAAGCAAAGAGAGATCAAAAATTGACACCCTATCGTCAAAACTGAAAGAGCTAGAGGAGTAAGATCAAAAAACCTCAAAGTCTAGCAGAAGACAAGAAATAGCTAAGATCAGAGCAGAACTGACGGAGATAGAGACACAAAAAACCCTTCAAAAAATCAACAAATCCAGGAGCTGGTTTTTTGAAAAGATCAACAAAATAGACCACTAGCCAGATTAATAAAAAAGAAAAGAGAATAACCAAATTGATGCAATAAAAAACGATAAAGGGGATATCACCACAGATTCCACAGAAATTCAAACCGTCATCAGAAATTATTACAAACAACTCTATGCACATAAACTAATAAACCTGGAAGAAATGGATAAATTCCTGGACACTTGCCTCCTCCCAAGCCTAAACCAGGAAGAAGCCGAAACCCTGAACAGACCCATAACAAGGTCTGAAGTTGAGGCAGCAATTAAGAGCTTACCACCCAAAAAAAGCCCAGGGCCAGACGGGTTCACAGCCGAATTCTACCAGACATACAAAGAGGAGCTGGTACCATTCCTTCTGAAACTATTCCAAACAATACAAAAAGGGGGAATTCTTCCCAAATCATTTTATGACACCAACATCATCCTGATTCCAAAACCCGGCAGAGACTCAACAAGAAAAGAAAACTTCAGGCCAATATCCATGATGAACATAGATGCAAAAATCTTCAATAAAATACTGACAAGCCGATTGCAACAGCACATCAAAAAGCTTATCCACCATGATCAAGTAGGCTTCATCCGGGGATGCAAGGCTGCTTCAACATACGCAAGTCTATAAACGTAATTCACCACATAAACAGAACCAAAGACTAAAACCACATGATTATCTCAATTGATGCAGAGAAGGCCTTTGATAAAATTCAACAGCCCTTTATGCTAAAAACCCTCAATAAGCTAGGTGTTGAAGGAACATGTCTCAAAATAATAAAAGCTATTTATGACAAACCAACAGCCAATATCATACTGAATGGGCAAAAACTGGAAGCATTCCCCTTGAAATGTGGCACCAGACAAGGATGCCCTCTCTCACCACTGCTATTCAATATAGTATTAGAAGTTCTAGCCAGAGCAATCAGGCAAGAAAAAGAAATAAAGGGCATTCAAATAGGAAAGGAGGAAGTCAAATTGTCTCTATTTGCAGACGACATGATTGTATATCTAGAAGACCCCATCGTCTCAGCCCCAAATCTCCTGAAACTGATAAGCAACTTCAGCAAAGTCTCAGGATACAAAATCAATGTGCAAAAATCACAGACATTCCTATACACCAATAACAGACTTAAAGAGAGCCAAATCAAGAACAAACTTCCATTCACAATTGCCACAAAGAGAATAAAATACCTAGGAATACAACTAACAAGGAACATAAAGGACCTCTTCAAGGAGAACTACAAGCCACTGCTCAATGAAATAAGAGAGGACACAAACAGATGGAGAAACATTCCATGTTCATGGTTAGGAAGAATCAGTATTGTGAAAATGGCCATACTGCCCAAAGTAATTTACAGATTCAATGCTATCCCCATCAAGCTACCAATGACCTTCTTCGCAGAACTGGAAAAAACCACCTGAAACTTCATATGGAACCAAAAGAGAGCCCACATAGCCAAGTCAATTCTAAGCAAAAAGAACAAGGCGGGAGGCATCACACTACCGGACTTCAAACTATACTACAAGGCTACAGTAATCAAAACAGCATGGTACTGGTACCAAAACAGAGATATAGACCAATGGAACAGAACAGAGGTCTCGGAGGCAACACAACATATCTACAACCATCTGATCTTTGACAAACCAGACAAAAACAAGCAAGGGGGAAAGGATTCCCTGTTCAGTAAATGGTGTTGGGAAAGCTGGCTAGCCATGTGCAGAAAGCAGAAACTGGACCCCTTCCTGACACCTTACACTAAAATTAACTCCAGATGGATTAAAGACTTAAACATAAGACCTAACACCATAAAAACCCTAGAAGAAAATCTAGGTAAAACCATTCAGGACATAGGTGTAGGCAAGGATGTCATGACCAAAACACCAAAAGCATTGACAGCAAAAGCCAAAATAGACAAATGGGACCTAATCAAACTCCACAGCTTCTGCACAGCAAAACAAACAGTCATTAGAGTGAATCGGCAACCAACAGAATGGGAAAAAATTTTTGCAGTTTACCCATCTGACAAAGGGCTGATATCCAGAATTTACAAAGAACTAAAACAGATTTACAAGAAAAAAACAAACAAGCCCATTCAAAAGTGGGCAAAGGATATGAACAGACACTTTACAAAAGAAGACATACATCAGGCCAACAAACATATGAAAAAATGCTCCTCATCACTGGTCATCAGAGAAATGCTAATCAAAACAACATTGAGATACCATCTCATGCCAGTTAGAATGGCGATCATTAAAAAATCTGGAGACAACAGATGCTGGAGAGGATGTGGAGAAATAGGAACACTTTTGCACTGTTGGTGGGAGTATAAATTAGTTCAACCACTGTGGAAGACAGTGTGGCGATTCCTCAAGGACCTAGAAATAGAAATTCCATTTGACCCAGCAATCCCATTAATGGGTATATATCGAAAGGATTACAAATTGTTCTACTATAAGGACACGTGCACACGAATGTTCATTGCAGCACTGTTTACAATAGCAAAGACCTGGAACCAACCCAAATGACCATCGACGATAGACTGGATAGGGAAAATGTGGCACATATACACCATCGAATATTATGCAGCCATCAAAAACGATGAGTTTGGGTCTTTTGTAGGGACATGGATGAACCTGGAAACCATCATTCTCGGCAAACTGACAGAAGAGCAGAAGATCAAACACCGCATGTTCTCACTCATAGGTGGGTGTTGAACAATGAGAACACATGGACACAGGGAGGGGAGCACTACACACTGGGGTCAGTTGGGGGGAAATAGGGGAGGGACGGTGGGGGGTGGGAAGCTGGGGAGAGATAGCAAGGGGAGAAATGCCAGATGTAGGTGATGGGGAGGAAGGCAGCAAATCACACTGCCACGTGTGTACCTATGCAACAATTTTGCATGTTCTTCACATGTACCCCAAAACCTAAAATGCAATAAAATAAATAAATGGGGGAAAAAAGAAACCAGATGAGTTATTTGTATATTGGGTCAATCCTAACAAGTGATTAAAAATACTTATATGTTAGTACCTTTACTGCCGTAAACCTACCACTGGATTAGGCATTTGTTTGATACCACATAGGATTTAGATGTTTAAATACATAGGGATAGAAAGGTGGAGGACAGGACAAAGTTATACAAACCACTTTTGAAGATCCAACCTACTTGTAATTATCGTCTTCCACAAATTTTTGTAGTTCTTCTATATACTGAACGGAGTTCAGATATTTTTGAACATGAGGCAACATGGGAATATCTAGGCAAAAGGTGATAAATAATTATCTGATAAAGTACAACTTAACCCGAATTTTAAAAATCAAGCTGAAAATAATTTAAAGGTAAGTTTAGGCCACATGGTATCAAAATTTAAATTAACTCTAGAAGGACATTACTGAGATAAACTTATTTAATGTGAAACTGAGGGTAATTTAGAAAATTACAGTTGCCTACTATTTGTATAGATTGTTGTTGTATTTTTTAATAGCTCCAATTATGAAGTCTCACATATTTGAGAAATTTCATAGAAAATGATCAGCAACTATTTTAAACTAAACACAAGACACGAAGGCAGTTATTTTTCTTTCAAAGAAGCCTGGTTCCCATTTATAAATGTGGTCTGTCTCTTCCCCTTATAAATTTCAAGCAAGATTAATTTAACATCACAACTTGATGCTATGTTTAAAATATTGAGAAAAGGACAGAATAAGGAATTATTTGATTTAACTTTCAGTAAGATTCTATTTCCACAGATACTTTTAGGAAGTTTTTGTGGTTTTCTAAAAAGTATAGATGCATGAAGTAAAAGTCAGCTTTAAGATAAATTTACTTGAAGTAATCATACAATGTAAAACTCAGTTTTTTAACCCATAGAAATTATATATTAACAGCCTAACTTTATTCTCTATCAAACTGGAAGTATCTAAATATTAAAAAAAATGCCTTTTCTCATCATTTGGGCTTATTTAGCTCTTTCTATAGATATAATTCTATAAAATACATGTTGGATAGAAATTGGTTATTTACTCAATATCTGACTCAAGAAAGTTGGTCAATTGTTACAAGGCTCAAGGATCTCAGCTACATTTCCCTAACAGAAAAATGTAAAAACTATTTACATAATAGATCAGGGAGATCAAATAAGATAAGAGAAAATGACTCTGTAAACTATAAAGGGCCAAATAGCTGTGAGGTAGTAATATTAAATACTTAATGCCCTTGTATTGTGAGAAAGTTGCTGCAAAATAGCAGAAAAGCAAAATATAAAAATAAAAATTTTAAATATTAAATACTTAAATTCCTTAAACGGAAGATCTTATGAAATAAAACAAGCACCATTTCCCTTTATATTAGGGTGGAAATAAGAGACTGAAGTCCCCTGCTGTGTGAAAAGTGATCAACAATGTGTGAATAAATCACTGGAATTACAGCAATGTTAATGGCTTGGCATTATCTCCCAGAAACTTACCATATTCACAAGACTGTTGCAAATCAGAAATTATTCGAAGGATATTATTCATTAAATTTGATCTTTGCTCACTTTCTAGAATGCTGCCAGTTGATGGATATGCTGAATCAATGTATGTTAAATCTGACAAATAGATACCTGAAACAAAATTAGATAAATGAATGTTTTCTTATTTGTAGTTTGGGAGACTATGACAAAGAAAGGGTGAAAAAGGTTGTTTATAGATACATTCCAATGTATGCCACATTTAAAATACATTGCTATTAATACACTGAGGCCTGGGTAACATGATTACTGGGGTTGAGGTTTCCATATGGTTGGGGTCAGATATATACCAATTTTTTGGTAATAATATGCTATTTTGTAAATGTCTTCTTGTGATTTCATTTTCAAGTAATTTGAGGCTACAGTTAGAAACTCCAGAACACATGGGAATTAATAGAAAGGAGCTGAGCTCTTTAACTGGCTCTGCCTCTGAACTAGTTTTATAATGGAGACAGTCATTTTAAACTCAGAACCTCAGATTTAAAATCTATAGAAGTATCCATTTCCAAGGTGTATTACAGCTTGAAGACATTAATTTAGTTAGCAGCCCAGCCACTGCCTGACAAAGGGAAATTATTTAATATTTGTTTTATACTCTTTTGCCTTGAGTTGGTAATTATCATTTGAGTCTTAACTACTTTGAAAATTATCTCAATCTGGTAGAAATGTTTTATACTTTAAAGAACAACACATGAATTTCTGAAATAGTTCATGTGACTACAAATTGAAGTTAACTATTTCTTACCCTCCATGCGCTTTGTACCCAAAAATAACATAACACATCTTCTAAAATTTGATTGTAATAATCCTTAAGATGAAAGGTCACTCATAAAAGATTATTTCTGGAGAGTTTACTATGCACATGTGAAATGTATTAGACAACTAAAGCTGGGGAGAAAAGAAAAACATACTTTCCTACTTTTACCCCATTACTTCGTGTTCACGAACTCTCAGGGAAATACAACCAAACTGCCCTAACTACTGCCTTCTAAATAAGCACTGTTTTTCCTCAGCTTTTTCTTATACCTTAAATGTTTCTAGACTTACCTCTGCCTATCCAAATCCTATATTTTACTTAACTAATTCAGTGTCAACTGTTCGCTAGTTTTCTCACAGATTCCAAGAAAGGAATTCAGACACTGTCTAGTCTAATTCTCTCCTTTTACAGACAAAAAACCTGAAATACAGATAGTAAAAGGACCTGTCTAATGCCATGCAACCTGTTAGTGATAGAGCTGGATCTCAGGTCTCACTTATAGCCCAGTGTTTTTTTTTTAATTACTTACATTCTGTTAAAAAATCATATGTTATCGGTCCATACTATTCACTTGATAACTTTTATGACTTCAAAATCTCCTTACTTAGATTTTTTTACATTTATATCTTATCTATTCAAGACTCGAAACTCATTTAAGGCAGTTGCTCTATCTTGCGAGAGAGAAAGAAAATCTTGTGCAATGTTTTGACAATAGGTGCTTAATACACCATAAAAAGCTAGCATGGCAATCTTTTTACTTATCCTAGTATCATTCACTTTCCACTCAGTAAATTTTTACAGTGTTCTTTAAGCCACCTATCAGACTTTTTTTCTTTAGAGAACCTCAACTTTATTTCCCTATAACTCCCAATGAATCAGAGGTTCCAAATGAAGCTGCGGTTCTTCCCACTTTCCCCAATCTCGGAGGAAGAAGAATCCCTCTCTTCTTCCCAAATCTCAACTGTAATTTTGAATGCAATTGTTGCTGCCTCCTTCCAAACAGCCACCATTGCCTCTACTATCACTCATCCTACTGGCTCCTTTCCCAGAGCCAATATACACATTTTTCTTCAAGACAGAGTCGTGCTCTGTCACAGGCTGGAATGCAGTGGCGCAATCTCAGCTCACTGCAACCTCTGCCTCCTGGGTTCAAGAGATTCTCGTCCCTCAGCCACCAGAGTAACTGGGATTACAGGTGTGTGCAACCACGCCCGGCTAGTTCTTGCATTTTTAGTAGAGACAGGGTTTCACCATGTTGGTCAGGCTGGTCTCAAACTCCTGTTCTCAAGTGATCAGCCCGACTCAGCCTCCCAAAGTGCTAGGATTACAGGCGTGAGCCAGTGCGCCCGGCACAATATACATGTTTAAATCTACCCTACTTATAAAACAAAATCTAAGCAATTCTTCCTTCAAATCTGATCCCACACCTCAAGATAACATCCTTGTCATTCTTCCTTCAACAAGCACCTTGGAAAAAAAACACAGAGCAGTAAACTTATTTTATTATTTTATTTTAATGTAATATTTGATACACAAAAAAGTTTACATGTGCTAGGAAAATTGTAAAAGACTTTGAGATGGGGAAAAAAAAAAGATTACTAGGTATCCTGTCTCGGTGCATCAGTTTGACCATTTTGAGCTATTTTATAACTCTGCACAGCTGATGAAAACTGGTAATAGAAATTATTGTGCATAAAAATGCCAAAGAATTATGTCAGTGGGATCTAATGAATGTTGACTTATTAAAGTTGATCAATTTTGCAACTATTTGTTAAATTTATTTCAGCATTCTTGATTGCATATGTGTGTTACTTTGAATTCTTCCTTGATGTATTTTTGATTCCCTTATAAATTTAATAATTTAAATGAAAATCTGGACACATATTCATTTCATATTTGTGTGAGAATCATGATTTGACTTAAAAAAAATTATTGCCGTGAACAGTGGCTCACGCCTGTAATCTCAGCACTTTGGGAGGCTGAGGCAGGTGGACTGCTTGAGCCCAGGAGTTTGAAACCAGTCTGGGAAACACAGTGAGACCGCACCGCTAAAAAAAAAAAAAAAAAATCCTTCAACACATGTGACATCTGTTGTTATCAAACAATATAACAAACACCTGCAAAAGACCAGGAAACTTATTACATCCTCCCTAAGGAGGTCTATAAGATTAGCACATGTATATCAATAACAGCAATAAAAGATATGTTAAAAGTAGCACAGAAAAGCTTAAAGAGGAGTTTCACAAAAATTCTGTGCAAAAAAGTGTTATTCCCTGCTGATGTGCTCAGAGAAGGCTTCAAGGAAGAAGTGGGGTTTGAGCTGGGTACCAATGTGCCAGTTCTTGCCATTCTTCCATCTTGTCATTAAACTCAGATGACAACTCACCTATAGTCATTCACTATACTGTGCTGTCCAATATGACAGCCACTTGCCACATGTGACTACTGAGTGTTTCATGTGTTTATTCTGAATTGAGATGTATTTGAGTATAAAACAGACAACAGATTTTGAAGGGTTAATATGAAAAATTAATGTAAAATATCTAATAAACTTTTGTATTGGTTACATGTTAATATTTTAATATGTTGGGGAAAATACCACTTTAAACGAGAACTACATCATCATCTATACTGCTGCATTTATTGGTTATGTTCCTTTTCTACTTCATCTCCTTGTTTCCTGTCCAGAAATAACCACTACCCTGAACTTTAAGATCATTCCCTTATTTTCCCCCCAGACATTTGTCTGTATTCCTATCTTTGTCTATTTTTGAGTTTTAAAAATAACATTTTAAGCATCTGAGGATTAAATAATAGTAATGTTAGAAAAATGTCTAGTATATACTAAGTCACTTGTAAAGATTTATTAAATAAAATTAAAAAATATAGTCTTCTGTGGTTGCTTTGTCTATTTTATTTCTAAGACTTATCCATACTGTTAAATGCCGCTGTAATCCCTGAGAATGAGAACAAGCTAATGTGTGGCTATTTTACAATAACTTATTTGACAGACTTTTGAGTTACTTCCATCCCACCCTCAACCATGTTGCTATAGACATTCTTATACACATCTCCCAGTACACATGTACAGAATTTCTTCAGGATATATGTACACGCCTAGAAGCAAAACTGCCAAGTACTAAAGTATATTAATATTCAATTTCACAAGATGGTGCCACATTATTTTTCAAAGCTGTATCAATTTGCAGTCCCACTAATTGTATACAAGCTTCTGCTGATCCACATTTGTGCTAATACTTGGTATTACCAATCTCAATTTTGCCAACCTTCTGAGTATAAAATGGTATCTCTTTGTGTCTTAATTTTTATTTCCTTGATTAGTAATAAGGTTAAACATTTATATTTCTATGTAATAAATGTTTCTGTCCATTTTTTCTTTTGGGTTGTCTTTTTCTTATTGATTTCTAATTTCTTAATGTATTGTGCACACTAATTTGTCAGTTAAATTTTATCTAGTCACTCTTCAACACACTAAATAATTTGAAATCTGTATCTATCACTTATTTTGGCAATGACATTAATAACTTTTTCATTCTAAGTCTTAAAACATCTCTCTTGGTCTCCGCTTCCTACGTAATCTCTCTGCTGTATTATAACCACTCTCTTCTAGGTCCCAGGTTTTTCCTAGCTTGAACTTTCCTATTTTCCCTCAAACCCCAACCACTCTTCTTTTTCCTCATGTTTCCTGGAACCTGGTTTCCTAGAACTTGGAATCATGGTCTGTCATTAATCTTTCTTTTCACTCTATGTGTACTTTCTCTAGTATCTTAGTTCCATAGCTTTAGCTACTACCTAATTGCTGATGACTTTCAAATCTCTCTATGTAAATGAGCTCCTGACTTTCATTTTTAGTTTAACATATCTAACCATAATTTGTCCCTAAATACCTGCCATTCCAATTTCCTACACTGCTTAGTGATATTATTAATTGCTCAAGTTAGAAAGCTCCAAACTGTTCAAATTTAAAAGCTCAGGAAGAATTTACAATCTCTTATTTTTCCCAGATTTAAACCATTAGTGACTACAACATAATTACTGAATAATCAAGAAATTATACATAATATAAATTAGAGGCCAGAAGCTGGCAGAACATTTGTCTCAATGTTTTTTAAATTCAGGAAGTGTCACAGGAAAAATCTAAATGGCTCTTTTTTCCTGAAAAATGGGCAGAACTGGAAACACTGTCTTATAATCCTTCATGGCCACAAGTATAGCTGAGAAGATGCAGGCAGATTCCTTTAAATTAATCATAAGGATGCCAACTTGTCATAACCTTCATTTCTCTCCATTATCTTACTACTGATTTACTTCACTGATTTATATTATCTGCTCCATTCTTCTTGTGAGCATTTGCCTTTCTAGGCCCTTGTGTTTGCAACCTCTGGTATACCTATATATGGCATAAGAATTCAAAGAAATGATTCTGTGAAAGAGGTAGAAAATAAGCTTAGAGTTTAAATAAAGGATATGGATCAACAGTGTGACCTAACAGAAAGAGAAAAACAGCACGAGCTATAGCAACAAGGAAGGGAAAGCATAGGTATGTAAAGAAAGCCCAAAAGTTTTATCTAGAAGCAGCTTACAGCAACTAGGTAAAGGTAATCAATGACAGACAGTATGGTATAATGCTTTGGCATTAGATTCAAATCCCAGCTCTACTGCTTGTACTTAAGTACTAAGCTAAGTTATTTAAGCCTAAATTTGTGTTTCTTCAGCTACTGAGTTACTTAACATTTCTTTAATCAATACAACAGTATAGTTGTACTCAACACTTATTAATCTTCTAGCACCTTATTTTCATAGCAGAAGAACCTGGACAGAGGTGGGTAAAGTCATTTGTCTAAGTTCACACAGTTAGTGGAGAGTCAGAGCTTCCTTGTTTTTTCACTCAGTTCAGGGTTATGTTTGTTTTTAAACCACACCACATCAATTAATAAGAATGACCTTATACAGAGAAGAGGGTCATTTTGTAGAATAGGAGGATGTGACATTATGTAACACCAGAATTTAATATTTAAAAGTATTAACTATCTGAAAGAATTTGACTTATGTTTGGTAATTACATATAAAAGCAGTTTTCTCTTAAGACACATTTCACGGTAAAACATAACATATTACAACAACGTCAAGTATCTTTTAAGTTTAAAACTTTCATTAGCAACTTAATAAGTAAAATGTTTACAAATTCTTCTAGACTATACAGAGTATTACATTATTTAGGTGGCTGCCTCCTGACAAAGTCTAGCTCTTGCTCTTTGTTAACAAAAACCAAACTCACCAGCCTGCAACTACTTCTAAGTGAAGTTGAATACTATTTTTTTTCGTATTCAACTTAAAAAGATCTCTGGCCAGCAGACTAAAATGTTTGTTTTATAATTGCCCGCTGAACTATGATAGTTTGTTTCCAGATGGTGCCCTTCCTTCAACCTGCACACAATCTCTCCTTGTTCAAAACTATTCAACCTCCTGCTGATCCCACCCCCCTATTTAAGGCTACAAAGAGGAAATCCTAAGGAGGAGATTCCCGCCCCCAGTCTCCAGCAATTTCTGGTGATGTAATATGTGGGCTGAACTTGAGTCTACTGAGAAAGAGGGAATCACTATTCAGGGGTACTGTATATACAATCTAGGTCAGCTGCAGCTGGTTACTGCATTTCTCCATGTGGCAGACAGAGCAAAGCTACAGCGCTTTCTCTGCTGGATTAAAGACGGCCCACAGACCAGATCTTCTACTATACTACTTAAAATTACATAGGTGGCTTGTCAAATTCAATTGATTAGTATTGTAAAAGGAAAAAGAAGTTCCTTCTTACAGCGTGGATTCAACGGTCCAAAACAAAAATGCAGCTTCCATTAAAGTAACAGATGAACAAACTTCTACACTAATTTTTAAAATCAAGAATAAGGCAGCAAGTTTCTGGATTCACTGTATCAACAGATACAAAAAGGTATTTAATATTTCTTTTATTTAAAAATATTATGTATATCAAATGCATAACTATTTAATATTTGTAGTAGAAATTTCAGAATCTTTTACTAAACAAAGACCTTTGGAATATACTACAGTTTACCTCATCTGAAAAAGGATTTATCCTGCAACCTGTCATAAAAACATTAAGTACTGTGTGATGGTTAATGCATTATTTGAGGTTCAACTTAATGACAGTTAGTGTATATGATTACAGACTGATACAGGCAAGCCATGCTGGGTTTCTGAAAACAAGTGCTTTACTGACAGTAGAAAGAAATTTTAACAAGTAACAGATTAAATGTATAAGGTTTAAAGCTTAATGATTAAAAACAAAGGAATACAAGCTAAAGAAAATAGTTGTAAACGCAATTAGTTTCTCTTCCTGAAGCTACAAGGTGTGTGCTGAAGATATACATAAACTGTTGGATTTTGCATAGACATAAAACAAAGCTAAGTTATAAAAATAGCTGAAAGTCTTTACAAAATCTCAATTACAGTATAACTAAATATTAAACAGAAATTCTTGTACAGATTTAAGATTGATTTATGACATTTCCTGTTACAACTCAAAATTTTAAATAGCCTTCCAGTCTTACATATAATAGTAATTTAATTTGGATGACAGAAATTAAACTCGCTACAACTGGAATTACTCGGAAAAGCAAGTTATCGATATACACACAAAAGCATTATGTTAGTAGTCAATATTAACAATAGAAAATAAGAACTCAGAAGATATAATTAATAAAATATATGACTAAAAGGCCAAAAATATGTAATATTTTTAGACAGAAATAAGTTCGTTAAGCACACATAAGAGGTGTCCTTAAATATTTTATCTGGAGCTTTGTTTACCTGCATTATAAAAACAATTAAAGATAAAATTACTAGTTACCAATAATATGCCTTAAACCAAAGACACATTGGTTTGTTAGATTTGGGGCTCCTCTGGCCTTATAAAAATTAAAGATATTAATGGTTAAGAATCCTGAACAAGCAAATAATGGTAAAGCTAAAATTTTTTCCAACTTTGCTTTGATGTCCTTTCCTTAAAGATTTAAAAAATACTGGCAGGATTTCTGTTAAACACAGATTTTACAAGAAATTCTAACAAAATTTCCAAGCAACAGTGGATATGAAATACTGTCATCTCTCTTTTTTGTTGTTGCATGCTATGGAATGTGCAGACTTCATTAAGCCTCAGTTCTTACTGATGTTGTCTTAAGGCAAGCATTTAATCTGAACCCCAAATCACATAGATAACTATTTATCCTTTTCTTAAATATATCCAGGGGATTAGATTGTTCCCAAGTCTCTTCCCAGAACATATTTCACAATCTAGCAGTTCTTTATCTAACATATCCTGAATGCTTCATAAATTTAACTTCATTGCCTCATACTGTTTTCAGTGCATGACACAGCCAGTTACATGCCTCTCTGAGTTTACCATCCGAAAGAAGGCAAATCCTGACTTTCGTTTCTTCTCTCTATAGCTGGCAATGCAGCAACTATGAAGAGAAATACTACTAATAAAATTAACTCAATGCAGTTTTTTCTTTTCTAAAAACACCAAGGCTAGATTTAAACTTAAGTATTTTATAACTAATTTATAACATTCTCTTGGGGCCTAGGAAAATTTTAACATATACAGTAAGGGTTTATGAGGTAACACAGATTTATGGATCTTTCACTTCAAAACTGAACATATGTGAGAAAATATTAAATAAGAGAATGTTTTTAGAAAACATAACAGTAAATGTATTTTTAAAACTAGTTCTTTACTCCTGACGTAGCTAGTCTACTACTTAAGAAATGTGGGTCCTTACCCGGCTTTAAGTGACAATGAAGCCAGTACTTTTGCATTTATTAAAAATGCAGTAGCCAGCTGCAGCTGACCTAGATTGTATATACAGTACCCCTGAATAGTGATTCCCCTTTTCTCAGTAGATTCAAGTTCAGCCCACATGTTACATATTATATTTATTTAAAAAATAAACTTTTAGCTGCCTCCTTTAAATGCTAATTTAGATTACTTTCTCTTATGGTAGGCAGTGGTATCTCTTATGCCTTACTCTTACAGGAACCACAATGAGCCAAGGCAGAATACACACAAGGAAGTTGTTTTTAATTCATCTAAATTTTAGCATTTTGGGGTTTTTGTCCTTCAATGACAACACTGATGCAAAATACTAACAGCAGTCTTGGATGATGTGCTTTTAGCTGTTCTATAAAAATCTGTGTCTGGTATTAATACAAGCTGTTCAATCAGAATACTGCTCATAAAACTGTATTTGTTTTGGAGTTTTATATTACTTCCTGCATTTTCCTTGTTTTGGTAGTTTACCTCATAGTAAATATTATTTAAGTAAAATAATTTTATGATCTAAGAGTTTCTATTCTAGTACTAAAATGAACAAACTTTAGCAGTAGGTAAGTTAAATATATAGGAAAAATGATATACATGTGCCCAGGACAATGACCTTTATTTGCTAAGGACAAGAAAATAAAAGTCCAGGCTAAATTCCATGTCTAAATCCCATCAACCTGGACATATAATAAATGTTTTATCGGTTTTTGCTATAGGTAACTTACTCTTGTATAGTAAAAGTCTATTTTAAAAAATAAAATAGATGACTGTTTGTCTAAATTTTCTATAGATGTCAGGAAGCAAGGTATGAAAACATAAAAAGAAAAAAAAAAAAAAATTCACCCATGTGTGCTTTGGCTATCAGTCAGCAAAAGAAGGCCTTGATAGAAATACAGAGTATTATGTTCTCCCTATCTTTTGTTTTCATTCCCTCTCTTGTTAGTAAAAGAATTCTCTAGACTTCATATTTGCCTTATTTTCATTATCTGCCCATTTTGAAGACACTATTGAATTGAAAAATGCCAAAAACAAAAGAACATGGTTTTAGAAAGTGAAAGTAGCAGCAGTCTTCATGGCGACAGCAGAGGAGTCTACATTTCATTGACATGACCTTTGTTCTTGGGAGGGGTCCATAATCATAGGTAGATACGTAACTACCAACTGACAGATACATGTGGAGGGAAAGAAATAACTGCAGAAAAGTCTGAGATGTAAAAAACGATTTGGCAGAATTTGGACACAAATTCTACCAAAAATTATCCATTAATACTTCTGCATAATTAAGTAACTGGTCAATGAAAGGGGATATAAACCAGGAAAAGGCTGTGAAAAGCAAGACACATAAACTTAAGACTCCTCTGTGGTTATGACATGACTAGGATAAAAATCACAGGTCTAGAAAAGTTAGAGGAGTAGAAGGTTTGAATCCCATTTAAGTGATTTAGCTTCTCAGGGATTTTATTCCTTTATATAATGATACAGCATTTACTTCAGTGTTGTAAATGCAAATAGTTTACATGTGTTAAGCTACATAAATATAAGGGATTGTCAACAGTGTTGCTGTTAGGAATTTCTTTAGAATACCTTGTCATATAATGTCTTGGTTAACTGAAAACGTGAACTCTGAAGTCTTCAGACTGGATTCAAATTCTGGCTCCATCACTATGAAGCTGTATGACTCCTGATAATAAGGTACTTAACTTCTGGATGCCAAGTTTTTCATCTGAAAGTGGGGATCATAATAATCTACTACATAGGGTTGTGGTGATAAGTAAAACATGAAAATGGCTTAAAATATGCCTAAGATTGAACAAGCACTCAATAAATATTAATTGCTGTTACTGTTGTATTATTACTAGTAACAGGCATAAACGATCTAGAAGCTGGTTTCTTAAATCAAGAAACAGTTACTTATGTAGAAATTTGGACAGAAAAGCTCTGTCTTAGGGTATCCACTGCCATCCTTCAAAAATGGGAGACAGGTATCAAGTTCTCAAGAGTGAAAAGGTAGCCTGTAACAGACCAGCGCATTAGTAGATCCAATGGAGTGAACATACCTTACCCCATTCTACTGCTGCTACTCTTGTGGGAGGAAAGAGAAAAGAAAAAGTCTTGGCTCTTGAAGCTGTTTCCTCAGAAGAATTCGTACTATAAAGAACAAGTATTTCTCATCTGCTACAGCAAAAACAAAACATTCCAAGCACATATTTTAGTGTACATGCTGCTGCTATAAATATTGACTATGGGTCAGAGAATCTGATCTAGACCTGGTTCTAATCCTGTGTGGCCTCAGCCTTCAACATGCATAGAGTACAGAGGGGTTCTTGAATGAGAGGGTCTCTAAGGCATTTTCCAACTTTGACATTCATATTTAATTACAGTTATGTTTCTTTCCTTGCTAATGGTAATACAAAATTACTAACACTTTACTAAAATACAGTTCAGTAGGACTTTTATTAGAAGAACAAACCTGCTGAATCATCTATAAGCTACAGTACATATAATTATGGTTCAGGAAACATAAGTACCCACAATGACTGTGAGCATTCTATCATTCTAAAACCTGTCACCAATCCCAAAAGGAGATGCTATAAAAATAAAAAAACACAATGCTAAAACTATCTGGGTTTAGATTTGTCTGAAATGTTTAACTTTCTCGAACATTTTAATGAAGACGGCATAATTTGTTACAGAGGACCAATTTAATTGGAAGTGTATAGTATGAATCTAAAACTTTGGCTAGTAAGGTCACCTGGTAATTTTAATACTAGTTAGGCAAGAATGTTTCAATTAGTGCCTTACAAACACTATGTACCATTTTCATAGTCTTAAGGTAGGGAGCTTTTAAAAGGCAAGAAAGCTGTCTTATCAGGGTCTCAAAAGCCTAAACAGCACTAGCAGTGTACCTTTGGACAGAGTAACACTGACCAAAATCTGCTCAATAAACTGGGGACAAAAAGCATGACAATAAGGTGGCAGCTGGAAGAACTATTTTCTGAAACCTAATCTTTAAACAAATGCCAAAGTACTACGACATAATATTAAATTTAAGAAATTAATAAAGTTCATTCTAGCCTAATTTATCAACACCAATAAGTAGTTTTCCTCCCTCTGATAGTTTTTAATATTACTGACTTTAACATATGTTAATATGAACTCTTTCTGCTTTTTCCCTTCATTTATTTGTTTTTCAAAAGACATCATTTATAACCTCGTTCAAAATGAAGGCTTTTACCTGGACCCTAGGTGTGCTATTCTTCTTGCTAGTGGAAGCTGGACACTGCAGAGGAGGACAATTCAAAATTAAAAAAATAACCCAGAGAAGATACCCTCGTGCCACAGACGGTAAAGAGGAAGTAAAGAAATGTGCATACACATTCCTGGTACCTGAACAAAGAATAACAGGGCCAATCTGTGTCAACACCAAAGGGCAAGATGCAAGTACCATTAAAGACATGATCACCAGGATGGACCTTGAAAACCTGAAGGATGTGCTCTCCAGGCAGAAGCGGGAGATAGATGTTCTGCAACTGGTGGTGGATGTAGATGGAAACATTGTGAATGAGGTAAAGCTGCTGAGAAAGGAAAGCCGTAACATGAACTCTCGTGTTACTCAACTCTACATGCAACTATTACATGAGATTATCCGTAAAAGGGATAATTCACTTGAACTTTCCCAACTGGAAAACAAAATCCTCAATGTCACCACAGAAATGTTGAAGATGGCAACAAGATACAGGGAACTAGAGGTGAAATATGCTTCCTTGACTGATCTCGTCAATAACCAATCAGTGATGATCACTTTGTTGGAAGAACAGTGCTTGAGGATATTTTCCCGACAAGACACCCATGTGTCTCCCCCTCTTGTCCAGGTGGTGCCACAACATATTCCTAACAGCCATCAGTATACTCCTGGTCTGCTGGGAGGTAACGAGATTCAGAGGGATCCAGGTTATCCCAGAGATTTAATGCCACTACCTGATCTGGCAACTTCTCCCACCAAAAGCCCTTTCAAGATACCACCGGTAACTTTCATCAATGAAGGTGAGTTACCTCTTACTGTTAGAAGTGGGAGTATGAGGTTAGTATTTTTATGCTTTATGAAACAATGCTCATAATAAATGCTTATCCTTCATTTTGTGATATTATACATACACATTAAAATTTCTATTTTTGTTTTTTATTAATATCACGAATTGAACTTAAATACATCTCTTCCGGCTCTAAAGTTCTTGGAGTTTATAAAAACTTAGTGGATACTGTGAAAAAAGCAGTCTTGAGACAGGAATAACTCCATGCTCTACTCCAAACCACTCCTGCACGCCATAACCATCCTATCAGCCCCCAGCTGGGTCATTGCTGCTGCCCAACAATTCTTTTATGTACCTATTGCTGCTTGTACCACCATCTTCTTGAAAAGAAACATGTAAAATATTCCTTTCACCCTCTTCAAGCTGTAATTATACCTCATTATCTCCACTCTCAGTAGATGATATATCTACTACTATACTGAGTAAGTCTAATCATGTCCTGGTTTTGTTCTTTCTTATCTTGAAAGCATCTTTACAAAACCCATGCCTCTTGCCCTCAGCTTCATGAAGAAAAGATATCCGTTCTATTTTCCAAGGCTAAACAAACAACAATTAGTGCTGTGTATCCTAAGAAACATAAATTTTCATTACTATAAAAAAAACTCTTGCATTGATCATGCATGATTCTGAACTCTACTTTTAAATTCATTTCTTCCTTTCTTCATGCATTCAGTATCAGTCACTGATCTAGGTGTCCAGAAAACAAAGATGAATAACTAATCTTTGTTTCAGTTTACTAAGCCCACCGCTAACTTTCTGAATTAAGTATTTTATGTTTATTTTACACTTGCAACTATTTTCTCATAAGCCATTCCCAGAATCCTTTACAAGTTGATTTGCTTCCTTAGAGTGGAAGGGAAAACCCAAATGCTACAAAGCAAAAATGAGTAAAGAAACTACAGTTCATTCACTTATTGAAAAGACAGGACATAAAACATATACTATGAAATAATTTTAAACAACAACAATAAAAATACAGAACAAAGACTGGAAAGAAATATATCACGAAGTGTTTCATCTGTCTGTAGCAGTGAATACCACTTGGCTATTCACAGCCCTGTTTTCTTGGCCTTCTACATTTTAATATTCTTCCTATTTCTTTAGGTACTTCACTGGCATCTTCTTCCTTCTATGCCTTAAAAGTCTTTCTTCAAGATCCTCTACTTTAGGATATCTTGGCCTCAAGTATCACCACTGCTCAGATGATTCCTGAATGGAGCGCTCCCTCCTTATTTAAACAAAGCTGGATGTTTGCATTTGGATATTTCACCATTACCTCACATATCTTCCTTTACTGAAACACCTTCTTTTAGCTTATCTGTCAATTTAGCAGATCTCAAGGCTTAACTCAAATAATATATTTGATGTTATAAATTCCCAGATTCAAACAAACATACCTAGGTGGTTCTTTCCCCAAATGACTGACTATTTCTCAAACATGTTTTCTATATGATATTACACTGAAGTTATTTATTTATACATCTGTCTCCTTGCTGGTCTGAATGCTTCTGGAAGATAGTGAACTGTCTTTTTACCATTTGATCTCAACATCTCTGTTTTGATTAATGTTGTCACCCATTTCCAAATGAACTTCGCTCATCTTTGACACTTCCCCACCTGCTCCATACACAGTTCACTGAATTCTACCATGTCCCCTTTCTGGTCTCTTGTGTGCATGTCCCTCATTTCTATTCAGAGCCAGAGCTCTAGTTTAGATTCAAATGATCCACGGCAGCAGCTAGAAGACAGAGACTCCCTAGGCTTCCAGCCATGTGATCTTAGGGGAAAAAAAATTATCTGTGTCTCAGTTTCCTTACCTGTGAAATGGGAATGATAACAGTATTTACCTTGTAAGATTTAACAACTGAAAAGTGCTTAGAATAGTGCCTGGCAATCAAATGTTAGTTCTTATTAGTAACTGTACAAGTAGCCTGCCAACTGCTGTAACTCTATTTTCTCTCTCCATCAAAATATATTTACATTGCAAGCAGACCCACCTTCTTAAACTACTCACATATCACACTTCTGCTCAGCAGTTTCCCATTGCAAACAGAAAAAGTTCAATTTGCTTAGTCTGGCTAAGAATAATGTCCTTTCTCCTAAAGAATCAAGCCTACTTTGCTAGTGGACCTTCCATTAGTTTCCTACATAAAAACCATCTGTTTCAATAAAATAAATCCATTCAGTTTCCCCTAAATATTTTCCATGCTTTCTGCCTATTCGAAGTGTAAGGCTCAAACCAAACCAACCAACCAACCAACCCAGCAAACAAATAAATAAACCGCAACTTCTCCTTGAGGCCCTTGTTGACTACCACAGGTTCGAAATGATTGTTCCTCTCCATGAATACCTCTACTCTCTGTAGCATACAAAAGACATTCCGTATAGCCCCCTCTTCAATTATCAGTTATCTTTACATATACTCATAATACATCTAACTAAGATGGCTTCCAACTATATTATAAGCTCTTTCCTGGTAGATGGTTACTGTGTCTTATCTGCAGCTGCTAAATAAGTGTTAGCTGATTTGGTAACATTTTTATAGAGCTTCTTAAAGTCGTCATTCTAAAGACCCTCATGAAAGTACTTTAGTATATCATATTGGATTTGTTCATTTTATAATGTTCTACGTTACAGTAGCAATAGGCTGGAGTATCATTAAATTGGGTAAATGATGATCATTATTAATATCCTCACTGGGCATGATGGCTCATGCCTGTAATCCCAGCACTCTGGAAGGCCAAGGCGGACGGATCACTTGAGGTCAGGAGTTTGAGACCAGCCTGGCCAACATGGTGAAAACTGTCTCTACCAAAAATACAAAACATTAGCTGGGTGTGGTGGTAATCTCAGCTATTGAGGAGGCTGAGGCAGGAGAATCACTTGAACCTGGGAGGCAGAGGTTGCAGTGAGCTGATCGCGCCACTACACTCCAGCCTAGGAGACAAAGTGAGACTCTGTCTCAAAAACAAACAAAAAAGCTCTCAACTCCTTTGATTTCCAAAGGGAAAATGTGGTGTATAAAGTGATCCACTGGGTATAGAAAGAAGAAACAGAAAAAGAGAAAATCTGTTTTTGAAATCCTTAAAAACTTTTGTTTTATGAAAGCTTTGATATAATTTATCAGTAGTTTGTATATGTAAGTTATAAATAAACAGAATTCAGGTGTGTAAATTTTTTTAACTGATGAGGTATACAATTATGTAAGTATGAAAACTGCCATGAAGTATTCTATGTGATCCCAAAGCTTGAGTAGATGGTATAACCAATTCTAGCAGAAATAATTATTCGCATTTTAATATGCTATAATCCCAGCTATTTAGGAGGCTGAGGCAGGAGAATCACTTGAACCTGGGAGACAGAGGTTGCAGTGAGCCAATCATGTCACTACACTCCAGCCTGGGTGACAGAGTGAGACTCTGTCTCCAAAAACAAACAAAAAATTCAACCCCTTTGATTTTCAAAGGGAAAATGTGATGTATAAAGTAATCCACTGGGTATACAAACTTTTCTTAAAAAAAATGCTTATACAAAACGAAACATACTATGTTTTATTATACACTGAGAGTTAGTACAAAAAAATCCACTACTGGTACAGAATTAAACCTCATGTTAGGGATTTAGTATGTCAAAAGTCCTCTTAAACACATTTTGTTTTAATGAAAAAATGGTGTACCTATCTTCAATAAATGATTCTTTAACGTAAAAATTAAGGACAGATAACTTTTTCTGTTATTCATTATTTGTTGTTTTATGTAAGCATTAACTTTTTACTTATTTTATTCTATAAATGTTGGTCTCTTAAATTCAAGGGCATAATTTGCTACACCATAAGAATTACTACACTAATTAGTACATTAATGAACATATAAGGGAAAGAGCATGGAAGTAAGAACACCTGGTTCCACCATTACCTTTGTTATGTGACCTTGGGTAAGTCACTCTGTTTATGTTTTCTCATTTGTCCAATGAGTGCGCTGGACTGGACTATTCTAATATCCTCTTCAAATTCTAATATTCTGTGATTCTTACTAAATGAAATTACTACAAGCAACAAAAACAGGCTGGCTATTTCCTTTACATAATGTGCTCAATTATTCACTTGTATTATTTTTACATCTCTCTGAAAAAAATGTCTCAGGCTGTTTAGGTGCTTGCACAAAAAGGGTAAAGATGGACAGCTACTGGTGTACTTATGTATGCCCTGGCACCAAGAAATTTTGATTACTATACTTTACTTTGAGGTACATGGTCATTCTAAAGTCTCTACATGCATAAGGTGAAAATATACAGTGTATATTTTAAGAGGTGTTCAGCCAGTTACAAAAGACAAACACTGTATGATTCTACTTACATAAAGTATTTAGAGTGGTCAAATTCATAGACACAAAGTAGAATTGTGGTTGCCAGAGGTTAGGGGGAGGGTGCATGGGGAGTTAATAGTTTCAGTTTTGTAAGATGAAGAGTTCTGGAGATGTATGGTGGTGATGGCTGTACAATACAAATGTTCTTAATGCCAGTGAACTGTACGTTTATAACACGTTTTACAAAAGGTGTTAGGACAGGCAATTTTTTCTTTTCTTTAAAAACAATTACAAGAAAAATCTATCTCAAAACCCATGAAGTTATAAAAAATAGTATTTAGATAAAAAACATTTTTCAAAACCATTACCTTCTTCTCTACCTTAAAAACAAAATGTTTGAGAATGTAATTATACGCCTGACAAGTTGTAATCAATGAAATTCTTAACTGTTAATGTTATTTGGTGCCTGCATTTTGGGTATTTTATCTCAAAAATAGCATACTTATAAAAATAAGTTTATTCCTTGTAGGAGAGCTGAGTGGAGAAAGTTCCTTCACCATGCGTAAAAGCATAGATCTGAGTATCAGTAAACTTGGATTCTAGCAAAGCTTTCTGGGGCACGGTTGCCTCTTTTGTAATAAAAATTGTG